ATATACAAGCATGCAACAATGTGTTTATTTACCCTACCTTGATAGAAGGAATGAATTATTTCTTTATATGACCTTAGATAGTCCTGATCCCTCGTGAGTTAATTTTGAAATTGCGTTAGACCTGAAATCCATTTCTTAACCAAATAAAAGTTCAAAGACCTTTGATGGAAATGGAATTAAAGAGACCTCTTAAATAACCTTGTGCCAATTTGGACGAGTTCCTTAAATTAAAATTTAAGAAATTTTTATTGTTTAGAAATGAGCTTCTCCAGCTATCTTAGAAAATCATTCTTGCTCATTGCATGGTCCAAGACTCCAAGTCAAGAACCAGAAAGTGAGCATTCGGGCTTGGAGTCCTGAATAATGGACTAACAAATGAGCTTGAAGGTTAGTGATCACATTAGCTGCCACTTAATAATATCAAAAACTCCCAAGAAAATCATGTTTTTTTTGGGTTTCCACCCGGTGTCCGGTACCCACATTGAGCCCGACTAAATCCAAATTCACGCCGGAAAATCTCACATTGGGGGATAAAATGCTCCCTAAGAAAATTATGGTTTATCCGTATATTTTCAACTTGGGACAATAAGTTCCTCAGTCCACTTCACATTCGACAAAATCCTCCAACCTCAGATGAAGATCAAACTTTCTTTCCTAATACAAGCTTTGGAGGTCGCAGTTCATTAAACGAATATAAGAAATGGAGGGAAGATTGTGTCAGCCCGAGCGTGTGAAATAGAAGCACAAGTTAAACCGTTGAATGGAGAGATAATTGCATGAATGGAGGCTATACATCATTTGGCATAAAACTTCTCAATTTACGAATTAATCCAGCTCAATACTATATACAGGTTAAATTCGAGTTTCAAGAAAGGCTAACACAACCAAAACCTCCTAAACCTTCACACGAGCTATTAGAACTACTTCCGCACAAAAGAATTGATTCTGTGAGCGAGAAAATGATATTTCAGCAGACGATTTCAACATGACAGTGAGCGAATCGATTCTGCTCATCAATGTGTGCTGTCACCTTCAGGCTACGACACAATGAGCACATCAATGACGAAAAGTTTTCACTACCTGGTCAATCCGTCTCCTACAAAGTGGGCAGTTTGTCAAGTGTGAAGAGCATGTCATGCAACAGCACATATGGCCACACCTGCGAAACAAACAGGTAAGTGCACCAAATATATCATAGTATCAAGAAACATAGGATTTTCAGAACAATGAGTATGCTCTGTATAAAACCAACGTAAAGTGCACAAGTTTGGCAGTAGCACGAGATGCCAGATTAATATCCAGCAGTTATTTAATGTATTGGAGGAGAGGACACACCACCTTCAGTCCCATGTTCCGATCCCATCTCCCGTTCCAAGTAATGTCGCCAGCCCACTCTAAGGCAATACCACCACATTATACAATAGATAATCATCGATAGAACAAGAGATGGAACAAAATACTCCTATACCGCAGTTTTCCTGCGTTTTTCTACTCTGACCCCTCAAAGCCCTTGAGTTAATTTGTGCAGTGTGTTTAAGTAAATTTGTCCAGATGGGGTGTATCAAACGAGGAGAATACTTCAATAGAATGGTGCAGATTTCATACGCTGCCAGTGCAAGACAATTGGAACATAGGCAAAACCTGATGACAAGTCTGGGATATAGGTTTACTTTCTCGGAATCTCACTCGGCAGCTGAGACATGGAGAAAAGGGGGGCTAACCCGTAAGTAATCAAATCAAATTAACTCGACTACCCAAGAACCTAAAGCCAGTTGAGGCAGCTATATGAGTCCTCTACACATGCTGTTCCATTCAGGACCATCTCATTCCAATATTGAACAATTAGACTTTTAAGAGAAACTAGGTTCCAAAATCTCGCACTTATCACTGTAAGGTAAACAGTAAACTAGTTTTACCTGAATTAGGTGGTCTTGCTTATATGAACTCTTTGCTTCTATTGTGATTAGTTAGTCATAAAACAACAAGTCAACAACTAAACCTCATTCCAAACTAGTTGGAGTTGGAATATGAATCTTGATAGATATGCAAATTTTGCAGCAAAGCAATTTGTCCTGAAAATTAATTTTTTTGAAGTAATAGCGATTAAAGACGAATGGTATGAAGCCTTTTTATTTATGAAGAGCATAACTTAGCAAAAAGGGGTGCTCGGTCACAACTTGCAGAAGCAGTTATTTATTAATTCACAGAGCGTCTTATTTAACACGGTGCATCTCTAAAGTCTCAACATCAACACGGCAACAATCCACTGATTGAGATAGGAAATGTGGCATTAACTAGGGACACAAGATCTGAAGTGGGATGCGAGGAATCGTTAAAACTGCAGTAGTGGCTTTTCATGTACTTTCTCCATGGCAAGAAGCAAAATGCAATGTATGTTTATGTCTAAGAGAAGCTACTCATAAAGAAATGTCTAAGAGAAGCTTTTGCTTTAGTGTGATGTTAGTTTGTGTTTAGACCAACTTAGTTTTTTTCTTCAATCATTCCTTAGTGATTGTGTTAAAAACTTAGTTCTCTTTTAATCATGGAAAACAGAATCTATTTTAACGCTAGTGGTAAGTCTTTTGATATTACAGAAAATAAAGATAAACCAGAGGTTTGGTATGAATGGGTGGAGAGGAAGTCAAATTTCATGAGAAAGATGACTTTGAGTCGGAAGGTTATGCAGTGGTTATGTAAGCTTCTGCATATTGCTTCAGATGGGAAAGGGAATGAGTTCAGGAGATGGAGGACCCGGGATCATGTCTTCAGTTTTTACTGTGCCAAGAAGTTCAATGACAGTGCAAGGGGTATGTAGAGCAGTTATTATCCTTCCAGAAGTTTCATTTAATTCGGGGTGGAAGGTACTTGCTTTAAAGATAGAAAGGTTCATTAATAGGGAGCCTCCTGCTACACAGAGACAACCTACAGTAGTTACAGTTGTGAATCTTTCGTACAGAGGTGCTTTCAGGTCCGACAAGTGGGAAGCAAAAGGAGCCTCTAAATCATCGTCGGAGAACCGGTCGACAGTACAACGCATAGTGATGAATGGTTCAGTTATAGGTGATGAAGACGTGTTGAGCAGGTGTCTGATCGGGAGCTTCGCAATCAGCAAGGAGTTGCCTACTCTTTCTGATATCCGGAGATGGGCTAGCAACAAATGGAACGCAATTCCAAGGGTCCAGATGTATGAGTTACATGGGCCAAAATTCTTATTTGAGTTTCCTTCCAGAAAATTAGCTGAACAAACTAAACTGGGGGAATGGAGTTGGAGAAATAATTTAATGAGTCTTGACTGGTGGGCGCCGGTTGCAGAGTGTTTGCCGGCCACTGCCAATCTCAAGTGGGTGAGGATAAGAGTATTGGGATTACCACTCATCTATGGTCACAAAGAATTTTCAAGGAGATCGGTGATAGATGTGGTGGTTGGATCGAAACAGAGGAAGAAACTTCTCCGCGTAACCATCTTAAATGGGCTCGTCTGAAAGTGAAGGGCCCAGTTACAGCAGTTCCCAGTAGCATTGAGATAGAAAAAGATGGAATTATCTTCACAATTCCGATTTGGTGTGGGGCCGGTGATATGGAGATCTGTTTCAGAGGTTTCGGCGGTGAACAGGGGAGACACAACCAGTAACTATGACGTAGGGGTTAAAAGGGGTGATGGGATGGGTCACGTGACTAAGGGTAGCTGCAGTTTGAATTTGAATCATGGCCCAGTGGATAAAGAGGTGCCAGCTGGGAAGTATTCAACTGGGCCACAGGGTATGGGCCAAGGGAGTCTTTTAATTTCTGGGCCCAATTGCGGGTCATTAAAGAGTACAGATCTGGGAATTAAAAATAGATTTTCGGTTCTGGGTTCTTTTAATAAGCCCGACCCAATGGAAACAGAGATATTAGCGAACATTAGCACAAGGGAATCGCTTGCTATGGTTGCGCTGATGGAGAGAGAAGAAGAGATCTGCAACACAGAATCAACAGAACTAATGAACGTGCAAGGGTTTGAGGAAGTGGCTAGATCAACATGTCCTGAAAGAGAAACTACTCCCTTTTCTTCTCCTATTTCTGTTACAAACAAACTGCAAGATGTAGTAGTACATGAGGAACCCACAGAAGTAATGAACATGCAAGGTGGGGAGCAGGTGGTTAGAGCATCTTGCTCTCACAGAGAAATTATTCCATTTTCTTCTCTTTCCTCTGGATTAAACCAATTGATGGATGAAGAAGACCACGAGACATGGTCCGTGGATGATGCAGAACCTCTAGATGTGCAATTTATCGAGGCAGAGATGGAAGCTTCTTTGTGGGTTCATAAAAATGTTCTAAAATTGAGCAAGACATACAGGGTAAATTTTCAGGGCTGTGAAAGGGAAGCTCTAGAACTGTTTCTCAAAATTGATAGGCATAGACAAGAGTTGAGGGAGGTGTCAACAATGAAGATGTGCACGACTCCAAAAAGGAAAAAAAGGGAGTTCGGAGGATCAAAATTTGGTGTTCAATATGAATTTTCCGGAGTCAAGCTCTAGGAATAGGGGGAAATCTATTAGCAATGTGTATCAATGAAGGTTAATATTATCTCTTGGAATGTCAGGGGATTAAATCGTGTTAACAAAAGAAGAGTTGTGAAACTACTAATTGAGAATTGGAAGGCAGACATTTATTATCTTCAAGAATCCAAGCTTGAAGGGGATGTACAGGGGTATGTGAAATAGATATGGGGTTATAGATGGGTAAAATTTGGGTGTCTAGAGGCTAGCGGTACAAGGGGGGGGCATTTTGGTATTATGGGATAGCAGAGTATGGAGGGGGGAAATAGTCAATGTTGGGAGTTACTCCATAACCTGTAGTTTCTTTTCTATAAATCAAAATTTTTCATGGCATTTGTCTGGGGTATATGGGCCTTATTATAGAATAGAGAGGGAGAAGTTTGGTGGGAGTTAGCTGCTTCTAGGGGAGTTTTTTAAGGGCCTTGGGTTATTTGTGGTGATTTTAACGTTACAAGATTTATGGAGGAAAGGAGGGGAGGCAACAAAATTTCAAGAGCTATGAGAGAGTTTACTCATTTTGTAGAGGATTTAGAGCTTATTGATCCACCACTTGAAGGGGGAATTTACACATGGAGTAGGGGAGTTAATTCTCGTATAGTGTCGAGATTGGATAGGTTTCTGTTCTCTGCTGACTGGGATGAAAACTTTAGGGATATCAAACAAGTTATTCTTCCAAAAGTTTCCTCAGACCATGCCCCTATTTCTCTGCAATGTGAGGTTTGGGAGAACACAAAATCATATTTTAAGTTTGAAAATTGGTGGTTGGGGACAGAGGGGTTCAAGGATAAAATAGCTTCCTGGTGGGTTTCTTTCGATGTACAGAGCAGACCTGATTATGTTCTAGCCAAAAAACTCAGGTTGTTGAAAGTTAAGCTGAAAGAATGGACAGGTCAAGGGGGAAATTTGGAGGTTCTAAAAACTATCTGTTTGAACAAAATTCTTGTACTAGACGTGGTTCAGGAATCCAGGGATCTTTCTGAAGATGAGTTGGTGCAAAAGGCTAGCCTAGTCATGGAACTGGAAGAGATTGCCAAAAATGAGGAGTTAATTTGGAGGCAGAAATCAAGAGTTCAATGGTTAAAACAAGGGGATCGAAATACTAAATATTTTCAGAGGATTACAAATGCCCACAGAAGGTTCAACAACATTGACAAGCTCAACATTAATGGGATACAAGTGGATGATAAGGAAGTTATAAAGTGTGAGATCTAAGCCTTTTATCAGCACTTATACACTGAATCTGAAGCATGGAGGCCAGAGTTCAATTTTCCAGATTGTCCTAGAATTAGTGAGGCAGAGGAGCAATGGCTACAGAGGGAGTTTGAAGAGCAAGAAATCATTGAGGGATGAAGGCTTGTGCAGCAGACAAAGCTCCGGGTCCAGATGGCTATACCATAGGTTTTTTTATTCAATGTTGGGATGTGGTGAAAGAAGATTTGATGAATACTTTTCAAAACTTCCACTCACAAGAATTGTTTGAGAAGAGCTTTAATGCTACTTATGTAGCATTATTCCAAAGAAGGCTGGGGCGATGGAACTAAAAGATTATAGACCTATAAGTCTCATAAATAGTGTATATAAGATCATTTCAAAGGTGTTGATAGAGAGATTGAAGACAGTCATTCACAAACTGGTTAACACTCAACAAATGGCTTTTATCAAAGGTAGGCAGATCATGGATGCAGCCCTAATAGCAAACGAATGTGTTGATTCCAGGGTTAAAAGTAAGATCCCTGGGATCCTTGGCAAACTGGTTATTGAGAAGGCATATGACAATATAAACTGGAACAATTAAGTTTTCCATTCTAGTTAATGGTTCTCCAGAGGGTTTCTTTTCTTCACAGAGAGGGCTAAGGCAAGGAGACCCTCTGTCTCCTTTCCTTCTTATAATTGTAATAGAAGGTCTGAATAGTATGATTAAGAAGGCAAACCAGGAGAGGTTGTTAAGGGGTTTCAAGGCAGTGAATAATGTCAGTAGCAATCTGGATATTACTCATATGCTTTATGCGGATGTCAATTGGAGCTGTCTCAGGGCTACATGTCAACTGGAGTAAATCACAGGTGTACACAGTTAATGAGGTCACCAACATTCAAAGATTCGTAGGGGTGCTAGGCTGTCAAGTGGGAAATCTCCCAACAACATATTTGGGGATGCCCTTGGGAGCAAAAAATAGATCCCAGGAGTTATGTAATGAGGTGCTGGAGAGGTGTGAAAAGAAACTTGCTATATGGAGAGGAAATTATCTTTCTCTGGGAGGGAGGATTACTTTAGTCAATAGTGAGCTAGATGCTCTTCCTACTTATACGATGTCTCTTTTCCCAATTCCTGTAAAAGTTGAGAAAAGAGTGGATGCTTTAAGGAGGAAATTCATATGGCAAGGAAAAAGGAGAAGAATGTGATGACCCGCCATGTCATCATGCCACATAGGCGCCATTTGGCATATATTAATGCCATGTGGAAGCTTACATAAGAAGAAGGCTAGCATTTGTGAGAAGATTCTAGAGAGGTATAGACATTTCCTTAGGAAGAACCTAGATCCTTATGGATTTGCTAGGAAAGTCCTTAGAATCTTCTAGGCTTGTAGAGAATTCTAGAAAAAGTCCTTATCTTGTAAATATCAAGGACTTGTGTAATAATTAATATTTACACACTAGCCCCTAGGAGACTAATATATAAAGGGGGTCATTCATTTGTAATTCATCAAGCAAACAGTTCAAGTTCTCTCTAATACAAAGCTTCCTTTAACAATTCTCTTGTGTTCTTTCTTCCATTCTCTTAGCGATCTTGAGTGTAGTTGAGTGTAGTAAGGCTGACTTGACGTAGCAAGAACGTGAGCAAGTTTTGCAAGATCGTGAGCGAGTTGTCAAGTGCCGCACGTGTACTTAGTTAACAATTAAGGACGTGACAACGTGGTATCAGAGTGAAGGTTTCAACTAAGGGAATGGCGAACGACGGAGAAATTAACGCTGCCAACACCCAAGCCAACGTCATCCAGGATGCTGTTGGCAAGAGTGGCCGTAGCAAAAAGAGGAATGCCACCAACAAGAGCCAGGAGGTGCCACCTGAGGTTGTGTCAAACGAAGGACTTACATTCCAAGAACCATCTGCCACTGAGGCGAGCGAGGATGAAGTGGAGGTCCTTCCAGAGGACGTCTCGCTCGGTAAAGAGTGGGTAATGAAGATGAACGCGGGGATGGACGTCGTGGAGATCTTTGGCCAACGCTTGGGGAAGGTGGAAGACACCCTTAACGTTCTTGAGGGGCACACTCTTGAAGAGATTGAGAGTATCCGAAATGACTTGGAGGGACGTACACAGACTGAGATGGAACTAAGGCAAACCATCACTGCCTTAGAGTGCAGACTCATGGAGGCTTTGAGTACTATCGATGCTATGAAGGCAAAGATAGAGTCACTCGANCAGGAAACAATTGAAGGAGCTGCTAGATGCTGGTCATATTCGCCCATCAAAGGCACCTTTTGGCGCACCAGTATTGTTCCAGAAGAAGAAGGATGGATTGTTGCGTTTGTGCATACACTACCGAGCACTTAATAAGGTCACTATGAAGAATAAGTACCCGATCCCGCTCATTGCTGACTTGTTTGATAGACTTGGGCAAGCCAAGTACTTTACCAAGGTAGATCTTCAAAAGGCCTACTACCAGGTTCGCATTGCGGAAGGGGATGAGCCAAAGACAGCATGTGTGACGAGATATGGAGCCTTTGATGGTTGGTGATGCCCTTCGGCTTAACCAATGCACCAGCCACATTTTGCACCCTTATGAACAAGATTTTTCATCCCTACCTTGATCAGTTCGTGGTAGTGTACCTAGATGACTATGTCATCTACAGCAACACCTTGGAGGAACACATGGAGCACTTAAGGAAGGTTTTCCAAGTCTTGCGGGAGAACGAGCTATACATCAAGAGAGAGAAGTGCGAGTTTGCACAATCAAAGGTGCACTTCTTGGGCCATGTCATTAGC